CTGCTGAGCTGCTTTGCAGTGCTGCGGGGGAAGGCCTGCAGGAAGGGGAGGTTTGCTGAGGACACGGAGGGGGAGGGAAGAGAAGATCTGGGCCTGACATACCTTGCTCATCTGCTAATTTTGGACCTATTACTCCAGTGCTGTGACAGATCTATGACAAATTTATGCTCCTAGTAACTTGGATCTACCAGACCAGGGCCTGGGCCTAGGGAAGGCAGAAACCAGGAGCTGAGAGGTTTGAGGATGGCAGTAGGATGTCTGTGCCAGGGAAGAGCTTTGTCAAGGCTCCTCTCTGCTGCTTTCACTCCCCTAACAGAGCTGGGCAGCAAGAGGCTACAGAGCTACCTCCTTTGCTTTCTCTCTCCTAGGACACTGAAAGCTCTCTGGAGTTACCTGACCCAGAAGGGAGTTAATAGCAAGGCCATTTGGGAGAAGATTAAGGACATCGTTATCAAAACCATCATTGCGTGAGTCCTGGCACCCCTTGCTCTGTGCCTGGTGGACCCTGGTCCCTCTGTCCAGTCCTCTCTCAACATGGTTTCAACATATAAATGCTGACACCACTGTTTGCTTCAGGATTTCTCATTGGATCCTGTTACTGAAAGTCCTGTTACTTACACTCATTCTGCAGTAGGTAAATAGACCTTACATTTCCTGGGTCTGCCTGCAGTGTCGGGGAGAGGCCAGGAGGGTGCTGTTAACCTGACAGTCTGCCCTGCCCCACTTGCCACCCACTCCTCTGCTTTTCCAGGGTGCCTGAAAAGAAGGTCCCCAGGTGCAGGACAGATCTTGTATTTTGAGGTGGATCCTGCCTGACAGAGCAAGGATGCTCAGGATGCAGTGCTGGATCCATATGCAGTGCAGCAGCAGCAGCTGACAGGCTTGCCTTGGTGTCTCAGCCCACCCATTCCTGCAGTGTGTGGCTGCACAGGCTCTCGGAACTGGCAGTGTGTGCTGTGAGCAGCCAGAGCTCTGCTGCCTGATTTGGAAACAAGCCTTTTTTCCTTGGCTTGCAGCTCGGAGCCCTACGTGAACACCCTGGTGAAGATGTATGTGCGGCGGCCGTATTGTTGCCATGAGCTGTTTGGGTTTGATATCATGCTGGATGAAAACCTCAAGCCCTGGATCTTAGAGGTCAACATTTCCCCAAGGTAAAGCAGATTCTGAGCCACAGCAGACTGGATAATGGTCTTTCTTTTACCACAAAGTGAACTTGGCTCATGATGTCCCCTGCACCTTGTGCTGAAAGACTTGTGGGCTTTGAAGCCTCACTCTCCAGATGGCAGGAATCAAAGTCCTCCCTGTTTGTGAAAGCAACATACATCTGCAGCTCAGAAAGCTTTGCTGGGCATGCTCCAGCTAGAGCCAGGGAAGATTATGTTAAAAAAGGAAGACCAAGGAGGGATGTGTCATGTAGGGAATGGGTGATGGTAGAGATTTCTTCTTTGCGGGGGCAGAAGTGATCAACAGCTCCACTGCCTTGTGCACAGTTCCCTGCTTGCTGCTGGCACCCGCCTGCGTGGTATCAGCTGAGCAGGCAGGGCTGGGAGCTGCAGAGTACCTGAGCATGGCCCCTCCTGCCTGCCAGAGTCGGATGGGCATGGGCTGGACACAGAGCTGTGATCCCACACAGGGCTCTGGGGATGGAATTTCCCTTTTCCAGCAAATCTGGGAAGAGATGGAGACATCAACCATTTCTGGTGGGCAGCCCCCATTCAAAGAGCTATTGTCAGGATTTGTCTTTCAGTGCCTCCTGGCTGTGTGTGGTGAGGCACGGGACAGGCTGGGGTTTGTATCCTGGTTAGCATTAGCCCACAGAGCAATCTTGGGGCCATGGCACCTCCATTCTAGCACTCAGACTGTTGTGATGCTTCCTCCCTACAGCCTCCACTCCAACTCCCCGCTGGACGTGAGCATCAAGGGTCAGATGATCCGGGACCTCCTCAACCTTGCTGGCTTTGTTCTGCCCAGTGCGGACAGCGTGGCCTCAAGGCCCCAGACAAGAAATAGCTCTACCTGCAGGTCAGCCCCCCTCTGTGTCAGAGAGACAGGCTTTTTTTCTCTTGAGAGATTTCATCTGAGGACTGCTTGTAGCCCAGCAAACGCTGGTTTCTTTGCTGTTCAGAGCCTGTGCTTGCTGGTCCTTCAGCTATGGGCCTGAGGGACTTGTATCATTCCATGGGTATCTGTTTCCTTTGATCTCTTCAAGGCAGAGGATTCATGCCCTCTTTGCAGGTCCATAGCTGGAAGTGAGGCCAGTGTAATTTGTGCTTGCTCTGCAGTTAGTTGAATCGTGCTCTTTCCTCCTTTCCCCTGCCAGAACTAGGGTGATGCTGAGCCACACGGGCTTTCTGTTTGCTTGGTGTGCTGGCTGGCTGTGTTGGGGCTGGATCTACTGACCCTCTACCTCAGGGATGCCTTGATCAAGGGGAGCACCTGTTATTTTCCAAAGCCTGGAGTGATCTGTTCTTTAGGTAGGACCACAGGTGTCAGAGGCTGTAGACCTATGGGTAAGGGTGTGCACAGTTGTACCTTGCAGCTAACATGACTTTTTCTTTTTTTCTTGTAAGAAGGCTTATTACTGGGTGTGTGTCCACCCAGGCCCCTACTCCTCCTGTATTTCACCACAGCCTGGGCTTATACCAGTTTCAAACCTGGCAGTGGGGCTGGGAACCAT